CTTATATAATAAGTATAGATACAAATAAATAACATGCCAAAATTTTAAAGAATAATCAATGTATTTTAATTTATTATCTAGCCATCAATAATATCATTTAATGATGTGATCATTATCTCTTAAATGATAAATAAAATATTAATTTAAAAAAAAAAATATTTGATTTTTATATACTCAAATAAAAATTAAAAATTACTATCGACAAATATGAATTATAATATATATATCAGTAAAATCATTGCTGAAGTTAATAAAATTATTTAAGGAAAGAATCTTTTTGATCATATTTGAATAGAAAATGTATATATGCAAGCAATTAATGCATATAGTAAAAAATTTCTAAATAAAGTATGCATTAAATGTGAGTTGACTTTTTTTGCTACTATTTTTGGTAAATAGTATTGTTTTTAATATAAGTATAGATGTTGTACTTTTTTATTCTTAAAAAAAATAATAATAATAAGCATGTGTTATGTGTATTTTCAAATTTCTGGAAATTAGTAACAAAATCTGTTACACACATTCTTATATATCGTGATTAAAAAAATTCTATTTATTAATAATTTCTACATTTTATAGATCACGAACCACAAAATTTAAATAAAAAGCAAACATGTAAAATACTATTTATTAATCAATATTTGTAAATTTCAGTGTCAAATGAGGATAAAAAAAAAATGAAGTATCAATTATGTATAATATTTTTACATCAAAATCGGTTAATTTTTTTATTCTAATTTTTAAGTATATGAATGTATTAGTGTGTATGATGATGTCATTTATTGAGTTAAATAAAAAAGCAGTAATGAATAAAGAACTTTTGTATATTATTTTTACATCAAAATCGGGTTATTTTTTTATTTTACCTTATATTAAAAGGAAACCTATTTACTAAATATAGTAGATAGAAAAGTCAACTTTAATTAATGAACTTCTAATTTTATCAAGTAGTAATTAATGTATTTATAATTTTAATCAAGTTTCCTATTTTACATATTGTTTTTAATCCTTCTTATCTTTACATAAAAAAATCCCATAAAATGGGGTGAGCAAAAACAATCAAAATTCTGTTTCTACAAACTACAAATCAATATTACGATTTTGAATAATACACTAACAAATTATAATATATTTTTATAAAACTTATAAAAAACTATTAAAAAAACTTGGTTCGTATATTTGTATGGATATTTATATTTTTTTAATATTATCTTTGTGTTAAAAAAACTATTTAACACTATTTTTTTTATTATATAATAAAATAATAATTAAATATTATATGATGAACAAGAATAAATAAAACTATTACTTTTTTTATATCAATGGATAAATTTATATACTGAAATTAAAGTTTTATTAGTATAAATATTTTAGTGAGGTAATATATTAATTATTTTACAAGCTAGCCCTAACATACTCATATTTAGGTTCTGGCTAAAAAACAATGCTGGTTAAAAGATATGATATAACCTTATTATTTTTTAGACTTAACGTTGATCAAAAGAGGTAGAAAATAGATAATAACACTATTACTTTTAAGATTTAAACGGACAAGACTGTTAAAATAACTCATTTAATATTTATATTCCGTGCATCGCACGGGGTACGTACTAGTTTTACTTTATACACCAATATTTGGATTAGTGTATATGATGATGTAATTAATCGATTTAAATATTAAAGAAAGGATGAAGAATATATTGTTTCTTTGAAAATCCGCTCCTTGATTTCAAATCTTTATCAAAACGTAATTCTCCCGCATTTTAGGGGACGGTTTTACCAAAAAATTGCTGGAATTATTCCGGATCTAATGGGCATGCAATGTGAACATGTTGATTGCAATTATTTCTATACGTGAAAAAAAAAAGAAAAAGAAGTTACCATTTATGGAAAACAATTAATGAAGAAAGAGGTATGATTAAAAATTAAGTTGCTATTTTTGAAAAATGTTAATTCTTATTATATATTTATAGATGATTACCCACTTAATCATTCCCTATATCGTTGTTAACAATCACATAACAACAGTTTGGCGCTAGAAGGAGGGCCTCATAAGTGATTTGAGGTTAATCTCCGCGTTTTCACATAACAGT